GGGCAGGAGCCCGGTGGTTGTGTTTGCTAACGCCACGGACCTTCTGGAGGAGCAGCCCCAGCCGCCTGCCCCCGAGCCACCATCCTGCAGGGCCCCGGGAGCAGCATCACATCCCTGCTGCTGCGGGGTCACCGTCAGACCGGAGCCGCGGTGCTTTGGCAGGATTTAGGGTCTCAAGTTGCGCAGCCTGATTTCTGAACAGAACAAACCTCTGTTGTTCTGGACGCAGGCTCCCTGCTGGGTTCCCAGCGCTGCCGCTTCACCGGCTGCCCCGTGAACCCTGTGCACGGGGCTGACAGCCTGGGCTGGGCTTCCTTGAGCTGTGCTTAATCTGGTGATTCAACATCAAAAAAGCTACTGCTGATGATGCAGATTTGTAAAGTATTTGCATTTGTAAAGGTACCGTGCTGTGTACAAACAAACTGGCTCAGCAGAACGTATTTCCTCAGGTTTTTCACCCATTTTTATCATACTAACTGCTGAATAACAGCTATTTATAAGGGAGACACTGAAGACTGAGTAACAGTGCTGAGGTGTTGTTTCTTTTCACTGTTTTTTTCCACTCCAGATTCTTATAATTCTTCTTGCACCCTCTTCTGTCCTGTCCTTGCAGCTTTCTTGGTCCCTTCCTCTGTCCTCTCTGCTCTCCATGGCTGCATAGATGAAGGAGAGCAACAAGGAGCAGAGTGGCAATGGTCTAACCAGCCTAGCAGTTGAACAAGAGCCTGATCAGCAGCAGCAAACATCAGACAGACATTCTAACGTCCTCTTTAGATTTAACATTCAAAATGCCATAGGCAATTGCAATTTCACCATCAAAATTACAAATACCTCTACTTTCCTATGGATCTGGCATTCAGTATGTTCTTAAAAGACTTGCAGTCCAGGAGCTCTCTGGGCCGATGCTGCAACCAGGGCCAGTTTTGCACACCCGCTTTGTGTGTGTTACTTCATGTCACCCCACTCTACTGCGCTACCTGTTGCTCCACTGCAGTCCACTACCTTCAGCATTCCCCTTCACACCACGCTGCTTTACACCCCTCCACAAGTGTCCTAAGGCGTCACATTTTATTGCTGTGACAGGACCCGCGGCCAGCACGGCCACGGAGCCGCTGCGGCTCTGCTGGCACTTGAGGCAGTTCTGTCCCCATGGGTTCTGTCTCGGGACAGTTGTGTGACAGGCAGGACAGGCAGCCTCCCCTGGCACCGACTGACTTGACTTCGTTAAGCTGTGCCTTGAAACTGTAGTTTCACACTAGCTTGGCAACACGGAACAAATACAACTCAAAGTTTCAGCTTCAAAACTTCCTCTCCGGGGGTATTTTTTTTTCAACCATGATCTGATATTTGCAGCCCGAGGGACTTGAGAACGTAAATCTATAGACAAAACACACTGTAGGCAAAGGGGCAAGAGATAACTCCTCCTCTAAAATGCTACAAAATATCTGCATTTAATATTTGCAATTTTTAAAGAATTAGAAAGTAACTTTTTTGGGGGGTGGTGGTGGTTATTGATCCTGTCTCAGCACAATTGTGCTGGAATGTCTGGTATTTATTTTTTGCCTAGTTTGCAAGAACATCCATCCATATATGAATCTAGTTGTCAATTACTTTAAAATCATTTTTAACATAAAATAATGGCAACTAAAGAGAAATGCAGCATGGAAATTAAATTTTACTCACATGAACAAGACATTTTAACAGGCATAATGCAAAGGTCTGTAATACTTTAATACAACCAGGTATTAGCCATATATTTTAGCTAAATCATAATGTACAGTTTTTCAGGACTTTGTATCCATATTTTTTCACATCTTCTGCTTTAGATTCAACTATCTGGGACAAGGATTATCTTAAACCGTAAGATTACATATTGGCAAAGTACTGTAGCTCACAGTTAAGTGTTCTAAGTACTACCTCAATGCCAACAGTTGGCAAAGATGTCAGTGACAGGCACTGCCACCAGCTGATAACCTGTTCTGGTGTTCAGAAAAAAAAGGGAGTCAGGACAGACACTTCAGCCCTGAAGGGGCAAAAGGGTTTGCTGAAAAGATTCAAAGCATCAGCTCTCAGAATTACAGAAGCTTAATGTCAATAACTCTTTTTACCAATAACTCTGTTTTTGACATGTTTAAATGAACCCTCTGTATAGCTGCCAAGTCCACAGCATTTTATTGTGCTCTGTAGCTGTGGAGAAAGAGAAATGCCTATCACTAATACTTTCATTTAATTTTTAATGCTGTTTTTAATTATCCTCACAGCAAGTTACCTCTGTATTGCAGTTACACTACTCTAGTTTGGCTAGACAAAGTGGAGCTACTGACAGTATCACAAAGTCTTACTTATCTCTTTGAGCAAACCATTCCAGTTTTGCAACAGAGCCATAGGTCATAGAAACTGCTATTAAGCTTCTATTAAAAAAATCCGTATATTAAACAATGCATTCCTATATTAAATAAAAAAAAAATATCCTAAGAGTGGGGGAAAAAAAGTATTATTTTTTGTTGGCATACTTTCATTTAAAAACCATTTATTAAAAATATCCACCAGTGGATCTGCTGTCTTCATAACTAGAAGGTAGTACTTCACAAAACAGTCCATAAAGTTATTTACATTTGTCCATATTTTAGATCTTTCCATTTTCAAGGCTCGAACCATTAACTGAAGGCTCAACAATCAGTCTTGGCTCTATCAATGCATCCCAACTTTCAGTTATCTGAAAAAAAAAAAAAAAACCAGTGTGTATAAGCTACATAAGTGTATGGGAGTTTCTTCTGCATTATGCTTTGCCTGGACTTAACCAACAGTGCTACTAAACAAAGACCACAGATTCTGTCATTTCGGAATCTTCCCAATGACTCTTAACTCTCATATTGTTTTCTTATCAGTGTCTTTCCTTACCCAGAACATCAAATAAGCCTGATACTCATGTTATCTATTAGCCAAAACAAAAACTTATAGTTTGCTGACTGGTTTTTGAACTCTATGAAGATGTGATTATTATCTTTTAATCACATGCACTCTCACTACAAAGGAGCAATTATTTTTAGTTTTATGTATTTTGGTCAGATGCACCATAAAAGAAATCTCACTGAAATGAACAGTGTCATAAAGCAGGGAATATATCACCTGTGTGAAATACTGCAACAGACTTTAAAATGAGAGCCCCACACACCTTTGTGTCCTGCGGAACAGCATACTCTATCAGCTCGGCTCCATCTGCAGACTGGTAAACCAGATCGAACTTCCCTGGCTCTTTAGCCACTTAAACATGAAGAAAAAAAAAAAAAACAGAAACAAAAACAAACAAGAAATACTCCAGTTAACCACAAACCAAAGAATACACATTTTCACAATATCTAGAAAGTTCAGCAAGCACAATTTTTAGTGATTATTTCAAATAGCTGCAATAAATCATGTCCCAGTGGTTCGGAGAATCACCTGAGCTGTGTTACTTTGTATCTGCTGTATGCTTTATCATATCACACAACAGGCAATCAACCCCTTACATTACTGATTTAGTAATTTATTCAGGTTAGGACTGCTGTTTAGTTTTGAGTTCAAATCTTATACTGTTTAAAATGGTAAATAATCAATTAAAATAATAATAATTAAAATCAATGATGTTTAAAATGGTAAAGAAAAATCCTGAGACAGAACTGAATATTACAAACCAAAATTAACGTAATTGCCCAATATCACTTCAATGCATGGAAGAAAAGCTTATCAACAATCTGCTACATAAATTTGCTCATGCTCAAGGGATGATGATTTATTGGTGTTAGTTTAAATGACAGCTGCAGTATATATATGCATAATTTCAGGTCTCTGAAGTGTGCTTTGTCACTGTAAAGACTCTGTTCCACATCCAAAGAACACACTGGCTTCACAGACTTCACAAAAACAAACTGAATTTTGCAAATACATATGAACAGCTTCAAGAAAACTAGTCAAATCTTCTTTATTCAAACAGACGGGGAGGGAGGAGGATAGACAATGAAAAGGAAACTGAGGAAACTGGAAATATTCCTGGAAAAAAAAGGAAGTTTGTTTCCAAACCATCATTTTCCAGGGGACATACGTGACAAGAGGCATTCAGCATTCTAAGGCATGCATACTTGCCTGCGGGCGATGAAAGAATCTCAAGCTCTATCTGTTTTTTATCAGCGTTCCAACTGATTATTTTCCCCTCCTTCATAGAACAAGAAAAGAATCAGATATGGTGTACTTCAGCATGGGTTAACTGTTACAAGCATTATTATACTTAAGCACAATTCGAGTAAATACATTTTTGTTACAAAAACAAAAAAACTGCAAAGTACTAGAGCTCAACAATCTTCACTTAACAGCCCCATAAACCGGAAGATTTTCATTCCCTCAATCCTTGTAGCTAGCATCATTACTTAGCCAGAAACCAAGTTACCTGAAGAGCTATTAAAATGACTTGCACCCAGTTTCAAGAATTTGCTTTGACTTCAAACAAACAGCTGAAGACTTTAGCACGACTGGGTTTTTCTATGAAGGCTCTCCATTTTTTGTCCTCTCTTTAAAACAGTAACCATCAGTAGAAGTAGTTGCATTAAAAAAACACAGTTTTCAATTTTTTTCAATTAATTTGTCTTTTACAGTTTAAATTGTTACTGCAGCACCAAACAGTCTGCACAGTCAACCGAGGAGATGAAAAATACTGTAAAGCCTCAAAACATTTATGCTTTCTCTTGTGTATGACAGCACTGCCCTTTTAAGAGAAAGAAAGAAAAGATAAAGAACAAGAATACCTTATAGTCTGAAACTTCGGGACTGTAATTTTCAGTTAGTTCCAAGCGCTGTTGAAAGAAACACAAAAAAGTGACAATTTCTCCAGATCTTTGATGATGGCACCTAGACTCGGGCACGGCTCCCTTGTGAGCCTGGATCCTGCTGCCGGTCCCGGTCCCAGCCAGGCCTCCCTGACTGCCAGTCAGGTCAGCCTGGAAAAGGAGATCAGGGAAACGGTTTCCAGTCTCCTTAGCTGCAGTGACTTCATCTTCCCTTGCTTATTTATTATGCACTGGAATATCATTACTTCTGTGGGGGAGAAATACCAAATTTCTTTCAAAGCCAACAACAGAAACTGCAAGAGTTGGTAATGTATGGGAAATGATGAGAGAGACAGTAAGAAAGGTGTGGACAATTTTCAAAGAAGCATGTAAACATTAGACACAGTAAGAAGTTTTAGCTTCTGCGTGACTTAAATTTGGAACACTGGAAAAAACAGTAATTAGGACAAAGCGGACTTCATGAATTCCTAATTCTTATATTTCTAGGACAACAGTCCCACAGCAAGGCAAGCTGAAACTCTTTGGTTAAGTTTCTGGCTGTCAGGACTATGCTATCTGTATCACGCCCTGCAAAATTTGCAATGGTCCAAATGAAGATTTTTAGCCCACTAACATCCTAACATTCTAGATCCCACAAGTACTTTACCTTAAAGGCAATTCTTTCTCCCACTTGTGGTGGGGCTGCTAGAAGAGGTAATGCACTATAGTTTCTCTTGGGGACCTCCACCGGATTCTGTGAAAGAAACAGTAAACCCACTGATTTAACTACGGTATTAATAAGAACAGAAAACAATGTTTGTGCTATATGAATGGTAAGAAATCCTGAGAAAGGTACAGATTTAAGTGCTTTTTAACAGGAAATATAATTTAATCATTTAAAAATTACTCGATAAACACTTCCTTGGGCTGCTAAACAGAAACACTCTGAGATTACCTTAAGAAACTGTCAGCCTTTATCCTGTTGATCTCTCTGTGTTCCTCTAATGATGCTCATCTTCTACATCATTTTTGTATAGCTCAAGCAGCAAAAGAGAAGTGACTAAGTCACTCACCTGCACAAGGACAGAAGTGTTTGTCACTGTCTCATTTAACTGCCTCTGCTTCTGGCCTTCACTGTCGTAGTTATAGAAGAAGCCCTGGTTGTCTCCTCGGCCACGGCCTCGCGTTGCCCCTTGAAACCCACGGCCCCTCAATCCTTTCCAGAAGTTCCCATCTCCTGTTCCTCGTCCCCTTCCAAGGACGGGGCTGGGCAGTGCTCTTTGAACACCAGCTGGTGACTTTTTATCACCATTTCTTACTATGGAAGTACTCGGTCCAGCATTTGCTTTGGGCTTTTTAGTAACAAGTGTTTCTGAATCTGAACTGTCAGACTCAGAAGAGGAGGTCTTTGTGTTGGGGGCTTTTGGGGTGCTGGTTTTTACAGGGGCTGTGTTATTAGGTAGTGGCTTTTTCTTTGTGGCACTGTTTTGTGCCGTTGCTACTTTGCCATCCTCTGCACTTGAGTCAGAATCAGAACTAGAGGACTGGGGCTGGTTAGATTTTTTACTAACTGCAGTCTTAGCGGAGTGTGCAGCTTTAGACTTCACAGTGACTTTACTAGAAACACCCGTTTTCACACTGGAATTTGCAGCAACCTGGGAGTTGCTCTTGGGAAGCGTCGCCACCGCAGGCTTATGGGAGGATTTGTTGTGCTTTGCGTCTCCTTCGCTGCTGTCGCTGCTGGAGGACGCGCTGGAGGCCTCGGCAGCCCTGCAGTCTTAGCGGAGTGTGCAGCTTTAGACTTCACAGTGACTTTACTAGAAACACCCGTTTTCACACTGGAATTTGCAGCAACCTGGGAGTTGCTCTTGGGAAGCGTCGCCACCGCAGGCTTATGGGAGGATTTGTTGTGCTTTGCGTCTCCTTCGCTGCTGTCGCTGCTGGAGGACGCGCTGGAGGCCTCGGCAGCCCC